ATATACGGATAGACGGATAGATGAGAATCTCTTTGCAATCGAATCCGGTCACTGCACTAGCGGTGCCAGGCTTTTTACCGCTACACCATCGCCCCAAATTAGGTTTTGTCTATATTTTACTTCCGTTATCTGCGTTGCATCCTCACCTGCACACATCATAGTAGCAAGCAGGAAATACTTTTCATAAGGTGCGCACTGTGATTATTGGATATAATGCTTTAGCATACGTAATTAAATAAATATACGAACATGTGCATAAACGTACGTATGAACTGATCGCATGGATAGATATGAAATGCGTGCATTCGCACATCAAAACAGGATTATTGAAACATGTATTAATTTTGATTTGATTTGAGATGTCTTGTATGTGTTATATGTATTTGCACGAACGCACGCATATACAGTGTCAAACACGTACTCACACAAACACATTCACACGATTTACACACACACACACGTAACAAGACGAGTACACACCTACACACACGTACACACGCGCACACACACACACACGCACGCACACACACTAAAAACTGCGTGCACACATTTATTTTATTTTCCTCTTTTGGCATCGTTGCAACAGGTGGGAACGGCGATTAAAATTTGCGAAAAGGTTGCAGGTTAAACATCACGTATCAGGCAACCTCAACGTACTTTAAAATTGGCAAATATTTAAAATAAAATTTGTAATATTTTACTAATTTAATTTTTATTGTTATCCTTTAGTTTGTTAATAATTTAATTTATTAATTTTTGGCATATCTTTGCTTGTTCATTTTCATTCTACTAACTTATTTATTTTTCTAGGTTTTCATTCATTCATTCGCACCGAACCACAGCGGACTGTTACCGCATAAATAATAATTAGAATAAAAATAATAACAATAATAAAAAAATAATAATAATATAAACAATTTTGGTATTTTCACAGGTCCCGGAAGCCTTATAAAAAACATAACACAACAAAAAATATAAAATTTCAGCATATCTCTTTAACCAGGTGTAACTAGTTATTACCAGAAATTTTTTATTTTTTTTCGAAATATATTTTAGAGATTGTATTTGTTAGAGGATAAATATACCTAGCAATAAGTAATCATCATGGATACTGAAAATAAATGCTAATAAAGTGAATAAAATCACGTAATCTTTTTTCAGTATGTTGAAAAACATAAAAATAAAGTAATTTTACTAAGAGAAACAATTACATTGACTGATTTTGAGTGTTCGTTTAAGTATTTTTCATTCAGTAGCGATAATAAGATGAAATTATGATACTAGAAAAGAAAATTTTGTCTGGAATTCGGAGAATTTTACCCGAGTCGAATTTTTTTTAAGGTCTGAGTCGGATATTTTTCACACAGGTTATTACATGCAGATAATAATAATAGCGTAACAGTACGAATGGGGCATAGTTCAATAAAAAAATAATATAAAAATTAATGATAATGACAGATAATACGCCAAAATTGTTCTTATTATTATTATGATCAAGTTCACAATATCAAATCTAAAAAAGCTATCTTCTTCTGTAAACGAAGTAGTGAGCTGCCCACTTTTTGATACTGTTGCAACGGCTGATGACCATTTCATGTGCGTTTCGTTGATGATTGTTGTTTCATATGAAGGACCGTCCGTTCCCTGATCAGCGTATATTCTGTCCAAGATCTGTCCATCCATTATGATGACGTCAGCATAGTTCTAATCAAGACACAATCTAAACGCGTGAGATGGATGAGTATCCCCAGGTTTTGTATCATAATTGCCTTTTTAAATGTGAGATGACAGGATATAGTATTGACACTGATTGATTGACTACATCCAAAGCCACACAATCGTTAGCATTGCTTACATTGCACAGACACTCCACAAATAGTAATTTAATCAGTCGTTACTTTCGATTCACCTGGAACTTCTGCCAGCCAGCCAAAGTTGGCCTATTTGACAAACTTTTTTAAACCCTAGGTATGTTTGGATTTCATTTCTTATTTTTACCGTTATAAATCTCTAGTTGTCTGGAATATATTCAATTATATGAAACCTCAAACATATTTCGTAACTCTATATATGAAGCGGATCAATCATTGATAGCTACTTAATATCGTAACACGGCTCAGTTTAGTTGTGTGTGATATAATTTTTTGTGATAGACGTCATGATAATTGTGATGAACAGACATGAGGAGGGCTCTCAGGTGTGCAAAAATATCAAACCCCTTTGAAGGTGAATAATAAAATGTTTATAAAGTGAATATATATATATATATATATATATATATATATATATATATATATATATATATATATATATATGTATAGTTAGTTTTTTATTTCTTTTCATTTATTCTTTCATTCATTCACTCAGTCATCTTTTTATTCATTTATTTATAGGCACGAATAGTATCTGAGTATCCGAACGACTAATTATATTTGAAATAACGTAATTATGCCGATGTGAAAGAGGCATTGTTATGCAGTAGTATTTAAGCTCGTGATTTATTGCAAGTTTAAAAAGATTCGCATTACTTTTCGTTATTTGCACGCTTACTTCACATAGCAAACACACGTGTGCAGACAGGCAAGCGAAAGCATTAGTTAGATGTTTAGGCATTTGTACAGAGCTAGCTAGTTTGAATTTGATTTCATTCAAATTATATGCATTCGTTCACATTCCTATATACCCAATGCTTGTTTACTTATATTTTCTGTCTGTCTGCAGGCTGTACTTACGGTGTGGTATTGCTGTTGCGATATATTTCATGCAAGTCAGTCTCAGGTAATCGTTTCTTTAACTTAATCAAATATATTTTACGATTCAATTAACGTAAACTTAAACAACTAAAAGCAAGTTTAAAATGATTTTGGCATCGTGATACCGATCTGTTATGGAGAATGAGGCTTCTGTAGAAATATTATACATTAGAGGTTTGTTTGCTTGTCGGGCTGCAGTCATAAACTTGAAAAAAACTTTAAAATGAAAAATCTGTTCGGTTTGTTAAAATTGAAATAATGACAAATAAAAAACATGAAACGTACTGCAAAGTAAAAAAAAACAACGCAAAGAGAGTACGAGACGTGAGATGGTGATAAATGATGAAAGAGACTGGCTTGAAACACTTAGCAGACCTACTTACATATAACAATATAAGTACATACGGCATTATAAGCATCGTAGGTACATAAGATTTACGTTGTAACATGGACTCTTACACAAACATAACAATACAACACTTGAATGATTCTTGTTTACGTTTACCCTCTGATGATCTCTTGATGAGATAGATGACTCACCTTCAGTTTATTATTACTGCTGAAATAACTGAATGATAATTCTATTGTTTTATGATAATATTTTTGTTAAACCACGAAACTTGCCAGGTCTTTTTAATTGTTCGATTTAATTTTTTAATAAAAAATTTGGTGTTGTTTAGATGATTTTTATAAAATCTGTCGATATAAGTTTATTTTTGCTTTTAAAAAATCATGCTTTGGTATAAGTTGCAGCTATGCAGAATGAAAAAAAGGGAGGATAGAAAGAGAGGTGGAAAGAAGAGAAAAAGAATTTAAATGAAAATATAATAGTGAAAGAGAGAAAAAGAGAGAGAACGAGGGTAAAATATCTATGATAGAAAGTGAAGATGAATTCGAACAAAAGATTAAACAGATCTCGATTGCTTGTCAAAAGATTATCGTCGTACTGAAGATGTTATCTGGTGAGACTTTTTTCTCAAGGTTTATTTCAAATAATTTTATTTAAGATTGTTAGTGTTTACTCGTTGCTCCTTTTTATTATTCGTTGGGATTAATTTATTATTTGTAATAATAATTTGCTGATTAATTTAATTTTTTGTTCTTTTATTCAAACATTTATTTATGCATTCATTCATTCATTCATTCATTCATTCATTCATTCATTCATTCATTCATTCATTCATTCATTCATTCATTCATTCATTCATTCATTGATTCACTCATTCATTCATTCATTCATTCATTCATTCATTCGCCGTGTATGGTTGTTTATATTTGCGTGTCAAGTGTAGTATACGCGCGTGCAATGTATTAATATTTTTTTTACAAAATAAAACCTCATAAAATAATAAGACAACAATTCAAACAACAAAACCAACAGTCAATACTGAATTTTTATCAACAGCAAAGACATATCAACTGTAACATACAAAACTTTTCGGCCTCAACATAATTCATCCATGCGACAGCATCAATGACACAACAAAACGTCAACCACACAACTTCACTCACACACACTCACACAAACAAACACACACAAACAAGAACAACAAAGACAACATAACAACATTAACTTCAAGACATGCGACCTAACAATACTAAATAAAAAACATTAAAGTGCTGTACACTGCATGCGAGCATGTCATTTTTGAAATTTATTTCAAATGGAGTAAACCTCTTTGCTAAGAGTTATGACAATTTTTTTAACTTTTTCTTTTTAGGTCTGAATTTAATGTGGCCTCGTTAAAAGATGGTCGACTGTGACACACGGCATGCAGGCAACCAGATGTTCCAACAAAACGATCAACTAAACCTTCTCATATTCACACATACAAGCCGTTTATGTTAAACTTTGTAGTATATCGTTGAATGTATCTTATACATTTCTAATTAGTTTCAGAAAAAAATTTTGTAATGCAAAACTCACTAAAATGAATTTGTTGAGACATGTTTGGGGGAATAAAATATTCATAAATTAACGTTTTGCTTAATCAAATGAGCATTTAAGATAAATTTCAGAAGAACTTTGAAACTTTCTGTTTCAACTTGCACAAGCGAACCGTTTCATTTATCAACAAAACGAGTTCATTATAGTTCAACTTTTTTCTTCTGAACACAGAAAAAAAATTTCTAATCGCTCGCTTCACATCAGAAACACAAAAAGGTCAACAACATCAACGCCATTTTCAAACTAACAACGAAAAACCGATCAACCGAATGTAACTGAGTTCTCAAATTTCAAATAAAATGGCTGCATCCGAAGACTACGTAGACGATGACGTCCCATCTGTAACGCCATCAACATCTTTCATCTCGCCGATATCATCACCTCTCATCTCTTCATCGTCATCTTTAATAATCTCCACACTCAAAACCACACTGAGCACCATCCTGGACTCATCCACCGCACCTTCCATCATTCCATCAGTTGGTGATAGTGAGGGAAGCGAGAGTGGGGTCGTGATCGGAGGTCACCATGAGGTCAAGGTTGCGGATGACTGGCCGTGGATTCTTCAGTATGTCAAAGGTTTGATACAGGATCCATTTTATTTCAGCCTTTTCTGAAATTAAAATATAAGTTCCGTCCTCATATACTGGTTTTGATTATTTTGATTTTTGTTACTTTGTGTAAATGTTTTGGACGATTGCAAAAACGGTATTTTCCATTTAAATTAATTTAATTTAAATTAACAGTTAAAGTTTTCTGTCGTGACGTTAAATCAGTTACATTTTAATTAAGGTGGTGGTCTGCTCAAGTTAGTTTTTTAGGTCTCTTGGTGATTTTGGAAAAAAAAAGTACTTACTTGCTTAATATATATTTTGTAGAATTTACAATATGTTTGTTTATTAATGAGTTGATAGATTTCAGAATGGTATGACGTCACTTCAATAAACAAAACCGAATAATTATTTTATAAATATAAATTAATTATAAATAATATAATAAATATAGTACAGACCAATACATATAGCAGATATGTACGAGTGTGTGTATGTATGAGTGAATTATGTTCGTGTTGTTTTTTTGTTTGTATCTCATTGTGTGTGTGTATGTATGTATATATGTATATATATATATATGTGTGTGTGTGTGTGTATGTGTGTGTATATGTGTGTGTTTGTGTGTAGTTTATAACATCATCACTATGATCTATGATGTACAAAGTTTTTCAACTAACAGTACATTGATGGTGCAAAATATAGTGACGTTTTCATTGATTACTATTAATTGCTTAATTAATTTTCTGACTAAAAATTATGCAAAAAATTAAAATTAGTTTAACTTTAATCTACTATTTTATTTTAATTTTTTTATTCATTGATTCTCTATTGTTAATTTTTTTAAATTTTTTTCGCCTGCTGCATTCCAGAGGTGGACATGGGTCCATTTTTACTGACCCAACCCATCACTTAACTCAACCCATCCCAACCCAACCCGCCTGAAAATGCAACTTTTCAACCCAACCCGACCCGACCCAACCCACGACCCATCTGCACGAGTCGCAATTTTACCAAACAGGCAAATTTTTACAAATGATATTTAAAAAGCAGAACTCAAAAATACAAGATCATATGTGTAATAAAACACACTGGTGAAGTAATCACACTGCAAGTGTAATAAAATAACATGAAAATTAATTAAAAATTAAATGTTACTAATATTTTCCCACAACAACGTCAGAAACATCAAACTTTCCATATTTGGCACCTAACTCAACACAGCTCTGCATCAAATTGAGAAGCCCTTTATTTTCAACAGATTTGTATGAGTGGTAACCATCAACACAGAAAAAGATCTGCCTATGCTTCAACATCGTTAATTCTTGAGGAGACGGTTGAATTTTTCGTTTCAAGCATTGCTGGATTTTCAACTGTGACTTTGGCAAGACTACAGCACAATGTTTAATATGTTCTTGCTGATTTTTAGTGCCAAAGTTTTTACCTGATGAATCTTTAAACTGATATACCTTATTGCACTTAATACAAGCACAATAGTAATTCACGGGAATTTCGCTTTCATCATTTTCCTTTTTTTGAAAAACCATGTGAAATTTCTGCCAGATTTCTGATTTTAAATTTGTGGGTGCTTTTAATATATACCACCCTGTTTTTTCTGGAAAGAATAAATATTTAAATACTTGAGTATGTTCAATCAATCAATTAAATTTATCTAATGAATGTGATTTCTAAACTTCAACAGCGCCCAACTAAAATTTGAAAAATAAACCATTTCTAGGTAGAAAAAAGAAAGAAAATGAAACATGAATATCAGGTAAATAAGTAAAATGAGCAATTGAGAAAAAATTCTGATATCTGTAAAGTGTAACTGTAAAGATTGAAGAGATTTGAAATTATGAAAAATAACAATTAAATCTTTAAAGGAATAAAACATAAAAAATGTAAATATGTTAATGTGAAATTTATTAGATTTTTTACTTTCGCAAACTTAGCAAATTTATAAAAATTTGCTAATCCTCTCAAATGACGCTGAATTTCTTCTGATTCTGCCATACTTGTAAATAAAACTAATTTTCTCGATCGGAAAGAAGTTACTTTTTGCTCAACTCAATAATCACAAAAAGAAAGTGGAAACGATAGACCAAAGATACAAGAATATTACAGCGATATAAAATACACCGATTTTTAACTAGTTAAAATGTTCGTTTAAGAATAAAAAAAAATACAGAAATAAATTATTTATAATAAAATTTGAAAATTTCAACCCAACCCAACCCACACAACTTTAAAAAATTTGGACCCAACCCAACCCAACCCATGGGTTAACCCAACCCATGTCCACCTCTGCTGCATTCTCCATGGTGAGATTTTTTAAACATTTCTAACTTGGCCGTGCTGGTTTTGTTAAGTGGATTGCAATTTTAGTAGCGATTGGTAGTAAGCTGGAAAGTTTTCCAAGAAATGATAAATCGTTTTCGGAAATGCGGTTAATTTTAAAATATTTCAACCCATCTGTGATAGTTAGTTACCTATAAAATTGATGTAAGCGCTCCATCTAACTTGTTTCGGCTCTTAATTATTTGATTCAAAAAGATTTATGTCTAAATATTTGTAATTATGGTTTACAGTCCAAAGATTACTAATATAACAATGATAACAATAATTAGGCTAACAAATAGCGCAATTCGATCATTCCCGCGGTTATAACAATATGATACCATAACTTTCATTCATGCAATGCACTCTGAATTATTTAAAATTATTTGTAATATTTGCTCATAATGATATGAATTGCAACTGGATTAGGGAACAATTTCTAGTTATGCTTTTGTCAGCGGTATTACGTTGTAATAGGGAAAAGTTGAAAAAAAACCGCTTTTGTATGTAACACCAGATGTTTTAATTTTTGTTGGTTTGTTTAGCAGTTTTGTTGGTTTGGTATAATTGAAGTAAAAATTCACTTTTTAGAAGTTTCGCCACTTGTAGATTTGCGGTAATAATTATAATAATGACAACAAGGTCATTTAGAAAAAGCTTTCATAGACATTATAGATTAAAGAGATGTAGGTTTTTTTTTTAATTATTTCTAGAATATCAACACACGGAAACCACGAGTCACACATTGCATGTGAGTGAGATGAATTAGGATATTTATGCAATTAAACCCAGCCAGATATTACATCTAAATCAAATTGAAAAGTAGCTCTTACGCATCAAGTAGCAGATTTGAGGTTAGATTATTTTGATAAGAAAAGTTTTGATTCTGTGGTTAAAGCTTGAGTGAATTTTATCCAAAAGTATAACATCTTTGGAGTTACAACATAATATGAACTGAGAGGTAGAATGTTAACATTCATTATGCTAACTTAAAGTTTTATAATGCAAATTGAGTAATATACAACTATGATTATATAACTATATATTGTAACATATGACGTTCAAATCTAATGACTTGACATCCAGAGATGAAGCAGATAGGCGTTTTATAGTTTGTACAAACACACATACATGCCCACTCACACACACATAGGGCTACACATATATCTATGTGCACTCATTTACATAAATCATCATTTTACCAGACAAAAACAACCAACCTGTCTTGGCGTATTTAGAAAATTCTTCTCAAGTTACATTGTTTTACAGGCTGTAATACACACACACACACACTCACACACACACATACAACTTTATATACACATATACTGACATACATAGATGTGTATGTATATATTGTGTTTGTGTACGCGTGTGCGCGCGTGTGTGTGTTTATTCGTATGAGGTTGTTAATGTTTGTTTAATTTAAACTAAACCAAAAATGATAGTTTTAACGTTCTTCAAAGAAGACATAAGTTGGAATTTCAAAGGTTCGAATTGGAGAATTTAGAGGCATCTAAAATGGATGAATGCAATAAAATGAGTGAGTTAGTTGGCTGGCTTCTAAATGAGAAACAGAGGCAAAAAAATCTTGTATGAAAAAAAACTTGGCCGATCATAAATCAATGTTAACAAAGAAAAGTAAACGAAGTTAACGGTTTGAAGTGATTGTGAGGAAGAAGAAGATGATTATAATTATAATAATAGTGATGATTACGACACTAGTGATGAGGGTTGTGAATGATGGTTGTGTTGAAAATGATGATGTTGTTGTTGCTGTAGCTGTTGTTGTTGCTGTTGTTGTTGCTGTTGTTGTTGTTGTTATTGTTGTTGCTGTTGTTGTTATTGTTGTTGCTGTTGTTGTTGTATTATAATATGGTTATAACTACAATGATGACGAAAATGAAGATGGTGGCTATGATAATTACATGGTGATGATTAAGAATAGGACTCGCCTGTTTAATACGACTAATCATTATCAATAGGACTGTTTAAGCACAAATTCAATTATGCAAAACGTTCATCTTGCTACTAGACGGCATTCATTGTAAAGTTGAATGGAGACTCTACTTAATAAGGTAAGGAAAATAAGTTTTTATAACTGAGAAATTATTGAAATAAAAATAAGTTTTTATTATCATATAATTTTTTACAATATTCTCCGGAGGCCTCAACAGCAGCAAACACACAGTGCATGTGATAGGCTGGGATCTCTTCGCAATCGAATTCGGTCATTGCAATAGCAATGCCAGGCACTTTACCGCTACACCATCGCGCCGTCGCTTACTTGCTACGCGAAGTAGTTAGGCGCCTGGTTCTCATAAAGCAGCGACTGGGTTCAATTGCATGAAGATTCCCCCTATCACATGAATTGTGGAACGTGATGCCGGCTAGATTCATGTGTATTTACATGCGTTGGTTGCAACTTCTGAGAAATTAATTGATAGTCATATATAAATAAATTAATATATATGTATGTATATATATATATATATATATATATATATAGAATATATACGTTCTATTGTTATTGTTATATTTTATATATATATATGTTGGAGTATATAATAATAAAATCAATAGTAATAATAATACTAATAAAAATAAAATCAATTACTGTAAAATACCAGACGGCTTCAAGAGTTATTAACACCATTTTGAGTATGTTAAAATCCAAAACCAGCAGGCAGATGTAGGGGGGGATTTAATGAGGTCACATTTTTTTGGAATGGAACGCATGGAAAACATCATTGTTGGAGCTGTGTGGATTGGCATGCTCGAGTTTTATGAATCTTTTTCATTGAAATAATTTTTTGCTCTAGTCTAGTTTGATGGTTTATATAAAGTAGTAGTAGGTAGTAGTACTAGTAGTAGTATTAGTGGTAGTAGTAGTAGTAGTGGTAGTAGTAGTGGTAGTAGGTAATAGTAGTAGTGGTGGTAGTGTTACTATTAGTAGAAGTAATACTGTTATAAGTGTTATCATTAGTGTTGTTATTATTGTTATTCTTCATTATTATTATTATTATTATTATTATTATTATTATTATTATTATTATTATTATTTTATATTATTATTAATGTTATTATTATTTATATAATTCATTTTATTATTGCGATTGTATGGGTTGATCGTTTTAAACGATATTATGATACCATCATCCTCATTTCAGTTCAAATCATTTGCATCTCATTTGCATTATTTGCATCTCATTTGCATTATTTGCATCTCATTTGCATTATTTGCATCTCATTTGCATTTATCGTCGTCGTCTTCGTCGTCATCATCGTCACCACCATCACCATCATTGTCAGTCTTTTCATAATTGTTTCCAACGTTTGAGATCATTATTTGACTCGTCATCATATTCTTCCTCATCATTACAAATGACAAAATCAACTTCATCTTTTACATCATCATGATGGACGCCCCCATCATCATCACAATCGCCATGTTCGTCGTCATCTTCACAATCATCTTAATTATCTTCACCAGCCAATAGGGAGCAGGCATTGTTGTGTTTGTTGTTCAGTGTGATGGTTGGAGTGGCCTGCCTCTTGTCGGCCATCTTGTGCTGCGTCTGCTGCCGTTGGAAGAGTGCTAGTAAAAAAGGTTCGTATTGTTTGTTGCTCGATGCTTTTTTGCTCTTGTTGCTTGATGTTGTTGCACGATGTTTGTTGCTCAATGTCGTTGCTCGATGTTTGTTGCACGATGTTGTTGCTCGATGATCTGTAGTCGTTAATTGTTGTTGTTGTTGTATGTAGTTTTAGTTATGTGTTATACCTACTTGAGTGTTTTATTTTTCAACATCATTCGTCGTAACTCGTTGTTTTTCATGGTTGACGTTGATTTCAATTTATTATTATTATTACACGTTGTGTTGGGTCATCTCGTTATCGCATCTCACCACCACATCTCATCCAACCACCACCAACCACATCACATCCAACCACCACCAACCAGGAACATTCAACGTGGCACACGACCACGCCGACGGTAAAACTAAAAATCCCATCCGATTGTTTCTAGGCAAGAAAAAGTCAGACAAAGAGCACGAAACTTTGTTGGGAGAAATGAACAGCAAGGGAGACATTTACAAACCTTCTCCGAACATTTCTGGCAGTGGCATTGCCGCTGTTAGCAGGCCGTACTCATCTCCAAGATCTGTCAGGCACGAGTTTGCAAGGGGAAGCATCACAGGTTTAACACTATAGAATGCTACAGGATCAATATCCAATTGAAATTTGAAATTTTTCAAAAATATTATGGCGTTCTTAAAAATTAACAAAATTTACAATTTTTTAAAATATTTATTTATTTCTAATAAATATTTTTTTATTTTACTTTTGAGATAATTATGAATGATGCATGCACTTATTAATATCTAACCAGGAGGAACAGTAAAGAGCGGGAATAACAACAGTTCAACTCTTACAACGCCATCTTCAACACTCAATCATCCAAATATCAACACCAACAACCCATCAAACACTCCAACAAACGCTCAAGTTGTTGGGCTCTACCTTTCGCAGGCCCCAAAGAGTCGCTGGTCGCGTGCATCTGATGCTGTTCCATGGCCCATCCCACCGTCCACAGTGTCCACACTCGAGCATGTACCGCCCCATTCAACTGGCACCGGCAGATCAAATGCGCAAAATCAACAGATGCCCATCATTTCCGAGGGACCTTCAACTTTTCTCAGCAACCTCCCAAGTGACCAAGTTGCACCGACCCAAGCACAACATTCTCCTACAAAACCCAAACTTTATCTTCCTTCTTTGCAGCAGCAACAACAATCAACACCTCAACAGCAATTTCCACAGCAACAATTTCAATCCTCTCCAACTGACTACTTATTCAATCGAGATTCCGTCAGCCCAACGACGAGATCAGCAGAACTTTCAGAGGACACAAACAGCACCGAAGAAGCTCCTCCGATTTTTAGAAGGTCTCCGAATGTCTCAAAATTGTCTAACAACAGTAGCCCTAGTTTCCAAACTGACAACACTCCGCAAAGACAAACATTTCCAGTTACCAACATCCCTCCAACCAATCTAGCAGTTTCCAGCTACATTTCCGGAGTGCCCGTTGTATCACCAAGAATGATGATCAATTCACCACCTGTCGTCCCAGCACCGGCATCTTCTCCCTGGCCTGTTAGGGATTCCCAGGTTCCCACGATGATCGATGAGAGCTCTGTTGTGGTCAACTCAAATGGAAGCACCGCATGGAACCGCAGGGCTTAGCAGGAAGTAAAATCATAGTAAAGAAAGTCTAGATAACAATTAAAAAGTTGTGGATGAAGAGTTTGATTGTGTTTTTAATGATTAACAATTTCTTGATAGTTAGAAACGTTCGTAGATTGTGTTACCTGTTTTATTTAAGTTAGATAACTTTTAATTATTATTTGGTGCAGTTTTGTTTCTTTGGCTAACTTTTCGGTGATTTGTTTTTAGACTTTTTCGTTTCATTTTTGTGTTACATTTTCGTGTTTGAAATTATATTTTTATGAAAAATATTATGAAAAATAATAATATACATATATGCCAGTTAATTTGAATGAGCTTCTTTGCGAATTCATCATCTCTTGAAAATTTCCATCAGCTTAACCCATTTTCTGCTGGCGTCCTTTATAAAGGACAAAAAGAAGCATGCATTACAAGTTCGGCATCGGTGATCAATTTTCGTCTAAACAAAATCCGATTATGAATAACTTTGAATTGATTCGTGCTTTTCATAATCCAGAAGTGCGTGATTTCTTTTAATGGATATCATCAACAAATTAAGTAATAAATTACTAAATGATTCACGCACATTGCATGGTAGAGCACGCACACACATGTATCTTAGATATATTTATATACATTTAATTTCATTTACTATACATGAATTTTTAACGACAGTTTATTGCTGTATTGAAGATTCCGGAGGCCTAAGAGACTATATAACTTGATGTATAGGTACACTACATACATATTTTGTTGAACGTTTTGACTTGTTAATGTACCATTTGGTCAGTGTCTTTGTTACCTTATACGTGTCTTGTATTGATATAAATGAGATATTAATTTTTATACATATTTACAAATAATTAATTCGCTTGGTGTCACCTTACAACGATTGTTGTGATTTCAAATAAATCGTTCTATGCCAGTGCTTTCATGGTTTTTCAACAATTTGTCAAAAGGTCGCTTTTAACAATAATATTGATGGTGATAATAATAACAATAGCAATAATGACAACAACAATATTATTGTTATTATATTAGTATTCTTCTTGTTTAACGGAAAAGTGGTAGTTGTTACTTGTTTATTTTGAAACGCGTTCAGCGGTGTACAGACGTTTTACCAAACTTAAACAATTTCCAGATGATGTAAGAAAACTCTAGTGATTGAGTTTTTCTCGTTTGAATGTTGGGCACATTTGCTGTTCGTCGTTGCAGGGAGGGTATCACATCGAGCAACAAAGGGTCGATGGATTTGTCTAGCACGTTACTTATGAACCAATTCTGAATTTTTTATTTGGTTGCTACTGTAAAGTTGTGCCATCTAGCGAGACAGACGACGAAAATGAAGCAATACCACAGATCAGTTGTTAGATTCGAAGCATGACGACTTCAACGATTTCTAAGGTTAATTTGTATCCTTTTGGCTCAGTTCTTCATTTGAAAGAACCAGGACCGGTGTTGAAATTGGAGATTTTTGCTGGAGTCGGAATGTTTTGAGGGGTCGGAGTTGGAGTCTGATATTTTTCCTCTAAAAATAACATGGGCCTGGAAAAATTCTGGATCCGCGACCGACAATACATAAAATCATTTCAAGCAGTACCTTTTAGAATTTATGTGGCTAGTTTAAACATGCAATAACATCAAGCCAGCTACATTTTAGCATTAAAACAATACTCAAGTATGTACTGACATGTCCTGTCCAGTTCTCTTTCAAGATCAGTATTTAAAACGTTCTTGTCCGGTTTATGTTTGACATCCTACTAAGAAGATATTTTTTTGCAAACGTTTGACTTAATCTTTTCTCATCAAAACGACATGCTGGCTACAAGTAGTCCTATACCTATGTTTATTGAACCTATGAGTGCAGCGTAAGTACTGCATCATACGGGTATGATGGCCACGTAATAGCAGCCCGAGACACGACCTTCTATCGACTGAGCCAACTCAGATGGACATCGAAAAATAAAAAAATCATTATAATGTAAATTTTCAAATTCCTGTAGACTTTTTTCATTTCCGAAACCAATAGATCGGTAATAAAATTTGAACGCTCTTGTTCTAAATAAATTTCTTATCCGATTCACATTTGTTTTGCTCTGTTTATATTTTGTTTTTGTGACGCTTTGTTAAAATCCAAGCTCTTAAATCTCATTTGTCTAATAACTAAGTAGACAAGACATGTTGTTGTTGTTTTGAGGTGTGTATTTTACTCACTTTTCAGTGTATTAAAACTTAAGAGTATATATGAATTTATGAATCACAGATTCATAATTTGTTAAAATATTTGTTGAAAATGTTACATCGAATTTATCGAATTGGTTTATTTGTTATAAAGCAACAAAAATAAAGCTACAACACAACAACATATTTACAGTAAAAAAGCCATTATGTCATTTATTAATAACCTCAAAACTGCACAGCAGATCTATCAGTCAATTTTGGTCTAAACCAATGTTCCAAAATTTTTGTGCCATGTGCTTGAACCCTGTTAAAAATTTCTAGGACTCAAAAATTTGTTCTCTTCTTATTTTTGCTTACAATACATCAACGTTTTCTTTTAAAACTAATATTATCAACAAGTATTGTTGGTTGAAATTGGATGTTTAATTCAATTTTTATTGTGGGGCCCAGTTATACCCTTGATAATAAAATTGCCACCCCAAAAAAATGAAATTTTCCCTCCCCTCAATAATGAAATTGCACCCGACCCCAGATTGGGAAACACCAGTCTAACCATTCAGATCTTGATATACTCTAATTGCCTGAAAGTTATTATTGCAAATGATCAGCTGCTTGGCTAATGCTTCTGTACACTCTCTCCTCGTTACTGTGGTTGATGTTAATCGAGGCATGCGTATACTCCACCACCACCACCGCCATCATAACTGCGAAACAGGACCAGGCGACCTTAGCTACTAGGCCATCACGCTGTCCACACACATAATTGCGTCCTGACGACTCAACTGAGTCAACATCTTTCAAAGTAATCATCAACTCCAATGATAAATCAAAATTTCTGAATGATGATTTCTGGCCTGAGAATTGTATAGTATCCAGATGGATATTCCATGATTAAAATCAACAATATGGAGAGAAAATTTGATTCGGAAAATTTTACTGATGAAATAAATAATGAAGGTAAATTTTATGAAAAGGTATCTGAAGTAAATGAACAATATAATTTAATAAAAGTTAATAAAAATGATCATTCTTCTCTTAGGTTGATGCATATGAATATTCGCAGTCTTCTCAATAAATCTGAGGACTTATCTGACTATCTTGACAACTTTTCAAAGTTAATGTCATCGGAGTTTCAGAAACTTGGTTGAATGATGATACCATTGGACTATTAAAGACTAATGGATTTGAATTAGTTGGTAAAAATCGAACTGGAAAGCGGGGTGGGGGTGTTGGGTTATATATTGACTGTAATATTAATTATAAATTAAGAAATGACATTAGTTTTATTGGTGATCCTGTATTTGAAACAATAGGCATTGAAATTTTAAATGAATTTAATGAATACAACCTTAAAATTCTAATAGTTCTAGTAACGTATAGACCTACTAATTATGATGTTAATGCTTATTTGAAATACTTGGAACAATTGCTTGAAATTTTACATGATAAAAATAAATTGTTGGGTCATCTAAACATCTATCTACTTGAAACAGATTCTAATGTTAAATTTCAGCTCCTTCAAGTTGCAACATCACTTAATTTTAGTGCTTATGATAAAAATACCAACCAGAATATATTTAAAAAAACAATCTTGCCTAGATAATATATTTTTGAACTCAAGCAATGTCAAACTATGCGGTTCTTTAATGAGCGATTTCTCAGATCACTTTCCAGTTTTTTGTGATTGTTGACATCAAGATAAACAGAGTTACTGTATTAATCATCCTCAACTGAATAACAAGAAAATGTATTTATTTGCAAAGGAAAAAAGTGACAAGTTGAACGAAAGGTTGTCTCTACTCGACTGGTCGGTTGTTTTGCAATGCCATAATGTAAATACTATTTTTCAACTTTTTTCAATAGCTTTCTAAACTGTTTCAGCAACTGCTGTCAAATTGCATCTGGAAGAAAAATAAATTAATTAGTCCACAACAAACCTTGGTTCACTAATGATTTAAAAAACGTGCTGAAGATAAAAAATAATTTGTTTAAAAAATATCTTAAAAATCCTAACGTTACTAACCAGAACGAATTTAAACTTTTTAGTAAAAAATGCACTGCAATTAAAAATAATTTAAAAAAAAAATATTTTGATTAAGACAGCAGGACAATCTGAATGATAATTAATGGTATTTTTTAGACTAATGCTAATTTTAAACCTGTCACTTCTAATGGACAGACATTAACTGATTCTGCCAATGCTTTGAATGAATATTTTTCAAATATTGCCACAAATTTGGCCTTATCATTTACAGCTCACGGCATTGGAAAAAAATTCCTTCCCGTTTCTTTCTTTTGCAAGGTAACTACCAGAAAAGAAATAATTTCAACTGTCAAACTATTTAAACCAAAAATGTCATATGGGTGGGACGAAATCCGAATGAAAATAGTAATCGCGACAATTGACACGATTGCTGATGTCATGGAGTTTCTTATTAATCTATCCTTCAGCACAGGAATTTTCCCAGTACGTCTGAAACTTTCAAAAATAATACCAATAAGGAAAGATGAGAAAAGTAATAACGAAGCCTGTTGAAATTTTGATGAAACGAGCGATACGAATAATAACAACATCAAAAAGAATTGCCCACACTTAGGAACATTTTATTTCGACTGACAATCTACATTTTTGTCAGTTTATCAATCAATCAATCACGTAGCTTATAAAGCGCTATTCCGCGATTTTCAACAGCTCAATGAATTTTGAAAACAGATGGGTCTTGAAATCTGCTCTGAACTTCGCAAGTGATGGAGAAGTAGTCAAAGAAGTAGGTAGAGAGTTCCAGAGAAAAAGACCAGAAAAAGCAAAAGCAGATTTGGCAAAAGAGTGTTTAACACGAGTTAAGAAAAAGCAAGAAGAAGAAGACGATTGTAAACCAGGACGTTGAGGTTCAATTAATATATCTGATAAATACTTAGGAAATAATTTAGATTGAGACTTATACATGAACGTGCAAATTTAAAAAAGTTTTCTATATTTTATAAGTAGCCAGTGCAAGAGAACAAGATATGGAGATATATGAAAAAAGAAAGGGGCACGAGCAACTAGACGAGCAGCAGAGTTAAAAGCTTTACTTAAAAGATAGAGTCAGGAAGACCACAGTAGAGCGAGTTACAATAATCAATCCTAGTTAAGACTAACGAAGTAACAAGAAGGAAGATCATCAAGAAAAGGCAAAAGTCTTTTTATTCTACGTAGATGAAAGTAAGAGCTTCTAGCAACACTATTAATCTGAGAAGAGAGAGACATAGTAGAATCAAAGATAAAACCTAGACTACGAAACTTATGAGAGACATCAAGAGTTTTAGAATCAGGTAAGATAATAGGAGGGATAGTAATAGAGTGTTTAGATTTATTAAAACAAATTAATTCAAACTTAGAAGGATTAAGTTTAAGACACATAGAGTCAGACCAGGCAATAATTGAAGAAAGAACTTTTAACTTGTATAACTTTGAGCGGACTGAACTTGTTAACTTTGTTTAACTTGTATTGTTCTATACGATTTGTTGTCAAATAATTAATTGGAAAATTGCCAAAAGTTTTCAACGACTTCTTTAAACAGGTACAAAATACCAGATACTCAAACAAATCTAAAACTGGTATATTCCATCATCACATATTAAGTAGTAGTCCAAGAGTGTGGAATGAATTGATGAAGAAGATATTTGAGTCCAGGGCCTTTAGTCATTCCAGTTTCCAGCGATCGTTGAAGTTATTTCTAAAAACAGTATTTGAATTCATGCATGATGTAAATTTTTGAAGAGCTTCTAATACTTTTTGATCATTATTACTTACGATTAGATTCGTGATTAATTTATTATAACCTGTAATATTAGAAAAAAGAATTGCAATAGGCCGATTCAGTCCGCTCAAATTAGTATAACAATTGTGAATACTTGTATAAATTTAACATTTCAATAGAATAATTCTACTGTTTAGCTGCCAATAATTTTGAGAAAAAAAAATTAATTTTCATTTAACTTTATTTAATACTGTAGTTTGTGTTGTTGATGTTTTTAAAAATATATACTAAATAAATATAATAAACACAAAAATGTCAAAATTTAAAAAATTCATTCAGATAAAAAGGCGACAATAATAAATTTCATGTTTGAACAATTTATAGTTAGTACAACGTTTGGAAATGTCAACTAAATAAAATATATTTCCAATTGAGGCATCGATGGCGGGATGTTAGCTAGGATAATTATTACCTGCCTAATAATTTTTCTTAGTTCTATGGAATTAAACGCGTAAACATTAAACATTTTTTTGTAATAATAAACATTTTATTGATTTTTTTACGGTCAAACGTCTTACTATCGTATTTCATTGTTAAACTTTTGAAATTTTTTTAAAATAAATGTCAATAGATTGACAAAAAAAATCAACTAGTACCAAAATCGCTAAACAAACGGTTAAAAACTAATTGTTTACTTTAACTTAAATTCACTTTTCAACAAATATTGCGATTCTATGTAAAATATTTGTTAAATCGACCTTGATATTATATATATATATATATATAATATATATATATACAATGTATATATAGTGTCAGAATTATGAAATAATACTGACTAAAAATACTGCAAAATTTTCAACGCGAAATTTATTCACTCGATAGGGGACATGGTGCAAGTTAATTTACTCGATAGGTGACGACAATTTTTTTTTGTTTTGCAATTTAGATGACGTCATAAATTATTACAAATTATTTTAAAATTTAATTAGTAGTTTTTTTTTATTAATTGGACATACCTTGGAAATTTTTATGTTTTTAAAACACCCGAAACAAAATCTAATTTTGCTTTAATAAGGAAGGGTGTGAAAAGACTAGGAGTACTGGGTTGACTAGTGAGGCAGCTTCGAATAATCAGTGCCTATTCTGGTCCCTAAGAGACTTAATACGTGATTCTATGCTCATTGGCATAGTTTCGCACGCGTACTAAAGTCACACAATTTGTTTCCAGTGTTGTTCTGACTCTTGTTGTTTTGTGTTGGTCGTGCGAAAGCCGATCAGACTCGACGGCCCAGTGAAAACAGGCCAGGGTTGTGCGAAAGCCGACCGACTGACAGACAGGCCCAGTGAAAACAGGCCCTTGGTCGTGCGAAAGCCGACCGACTGACAGACAGGCCCAGTGAAAACAGGCATTGGGTTCTGTGAAAACGAATCCGCCTCGTTCTTTTGTTTCTTGTGCTATTTGTCGACCTAGGGTTCTTTGCTGGATTCTATACTCATTGGTATAGTTTCACACGCAGCTTGTAATTTCCATAGGATCCGATTTTGTGATTTTTTTTCGCATTCATTTTTATTTATTTCTTGGAGTTGTATCGACATCACCATCTGTCACACACGTCGAGGTTGTACGATTAAACGGCAAGAAACATATCCCAAGTCGAAGACCCAACAAGAAGAAGTTCTAATTCCTGTATTCCAGTTTGTTCATTGACATTTACATTATTTTAGAGTTCATTAGTTCAATTCCTTTTTATTTACTTCCGTCGATTAATAAAATTGTTATCGAATATTTTTCTTTACGCGTTCGTGTGTTACTCAGTAAAATCATATAATTCGAAAAAGCCCAGTGCCACACAGGACTGGTCGAACTCACGTTAAAAATATACACAAAAATTATTGTCGGACCATAAAAAAAATTCCCTGAGAAAGATAGAGGAGGAGATTATCTCACACCACCAGTTGTTTTAATTGTTTTCATTTATAGATTTTCCGACAATTAGCGCCCAACGTGGGGCTTAGTCATAATTTGAAAACCTCCTCATTCATTATTTTAAAATTTCCGACAATATATACAATGTATATATATAACGGTCTGTCATATCCATATTGTATATATCCATGATTTATATTCTGCCAACAAGTTTAATCAACACCTGCAGTGAACCTTTTTTGGTTGCTTTCCAGATCGGTCTACAGATGGTAATTTCACCACTTTCTTTCACTCTTCTCATCAGTTTTCTAATTGCAATTGTTATACGTTTTGGTTATACCTTGAATTCAAAAATTTTATTTACTAGAAAACAGAAGACCGAAACTGCGAAATGATTTATTGAGATTATACTTCGTGTTGGGATTTTGTCGGGTCCGCTTGATGACCTACGTTGTATGGAGGTGGTTGCTGCAATTATTTATGATGCCTTAATATAATCAAGAAAAAATCTTTTATTGGAAAAACACAAACATTTTTTTTAATTTCAGAAAATTTAACACAGTTCAGTCAATTTTTTCAAAATTTACTCGTTAAGACTTTTCATTGAATTTTCGATTTTTTGCCTTAACAAGAAAGTTTGATAATTTAACAAGCATTGTTCATTTTATTAATAAGATTGTTCATTATTTACCAAATTTTTTGTTTTGTTTATTTCAAGATGGAACTGTTTTCTTAACTATTCCCACTTAAATTAACTTTTTAATCTTGTTATAAAAATTTTTGACTGATGGATTTTTCAGATATCTTTAACAAAAGTTATTTTTAATTGAAAATTGTTTTTATTGTCATCATAAACCAGGAGGATCATTTCTTTTCCAGTTTTATTTATATTTTTTATCATATTTGATGGCTAAAACTCTAAGTTCAACACTTTTTTGACGACATTTTTTATGCAGACCCTGAATGAAAACTGAACTCAGTTCACTATTCGGTTTTATATAGTTATTTTTTAGGTGGTTTCATATAGTTATTTTTTAGTTGAATCATAAGAGAATTTTCATTTGTTTCACTCGTCTATTATGCATCGTTATTGATTTTTTTGCCTACTGAATTCAGTACTGGAAAGAAGCAAAAACTTGAAATTGAAAGGGTTTAAGTGTTTTATTGAATCACAAAGAGTGCATAGAAAAGATTGTTTATTTCTCTCATCATATGTAGTTCACTGATTTTCATTTCACCACCACCTTCATTACCAATCACTCGGTTTACTTTTCGTCCTCTCTAGACCACACTTCAAGTTTGATTTATTTCAAGAGTTTCAGACTCGTTTAGATTTAATTTTGTTATCTTTGAATAAGTGTTTTCATCTGGATTATTATTTATAAACATAGAACTGTTAAAAAATTGAACGGGCGGTATGTACCCGATTTAACTTTTTTATAGGCAGAATTTATATGTAAGAAGTAAATAAAAAATGTAATTTAATATAAACGCGCCTTGTAATTATGTAAAGAAAACATAAAACCTGTAATTATAGTTTTTTTATCCTAGTTAGTAAGTTTTATTGTTTTAAAAATAAATTCAAAAAATTCATTCCGATAAACTTTGAAATTATTTTACAAATCTTAATGAGATTGATACAAATTCGTTAAACACGTTTCAGTAAAACAGAAATAATTTTATTATCGTTCAATTCATAATCAAAAATTGATCCAAAAATTATTATTGAAATCCTGAGGATTGTTAAAGCCAAAAAATATTAACGAATTTTTTTAGTTATCAATAAAAAATGAGTATTGATTGAATATTTATCTTTAAATCAGATTTATTGAAAATCATGGGGTACTGACGTATGTAGCCGTTGTTAGCACGTAGCTTAAGTATTTGAAATTGAAACCTTCTAAAATAACGTTCACCTCTCGCTCTAAATTAATGGATTTAAAGACTGCAACTTCTATCCTGCATATTGGACAAGATGAATTTTTTTCAAACCAAAAATAGGAGCACTTGAAATGGAAGATATGAGCGCATGACAACTCGTGCACCATCATACTTTCTTCAAATTTTTCTTTCCATATTGCGCACTCATCCTGCAGAAATATACCACAAAAGTACGGTTCTTTGAGATTTCTGCTGGCTGCCATGCTCTCATAAAATGAGTCGTTGTGATTTATTATCCCGTACAGAATATCTCCCTCACCTATTAACATACATTTATGACGCTCTGAATTGCTGTATAGTGCATCATCCTGGTTAATATTGATAAACTCAAATTTTTTATTATATTTTCTATTTAAAACGTATTCATAGTAGAATAGTTGCATATCTTTGACCATTTGGTATTGGGTGATGCTTAGTGTATACCGAATGTTTTTCCAGCAAAGATTTTCAATGTGTTCATTGTTCAACATAGAAACGTTCTTCGTAATTCTATCAATTTCGTGTTTTTCAAGGAGATATTTGTACTTGAAATGTTCTAAATACAATGTGAATACTGGTTGACGATCTCATCAAGTTCAAAATCTTTTAAATAGTAATAAGTTTGAACGTTCATTCTGTTCAAAAGTTCTAAACTAAGAGCCATCTTGAGAGTTGAACCAAATGTGTTCTATAATTTCAAAAGGAATTTGCTAAAATTCTTTTTGAAATGTCGTTTTTTAAAACTTACAGATTGGTCTGAAAATTCATATCTTTATATAGGAGTTCAACCAAACAACGCCAAGGTCACAAAATTTTAATTACGTTATTTACGACCTAACAAGCATTGCCAATAAATCGCAGGTCAGCAAAGACACAGAGTATTGTTAAAAGGAAATTATAACAAAGAAATTAAACAAATTGTCGCCCATTATTATTTCACTTTAAAAATTTTACAAGTTAGGGTTAGTATTTTAAGAAAATTACTTAAACACAACTCAAAAATTTTACGATCAAGCCATTTGTCATGAATACGGATTTTGTTTTAATTGTCTATTTATATAGGTTTTGATTGATTTTGTTCGTGTAAAAGTTTTTCTTCAAAGATCAAAATATTATTAAAATTTTCATCATAACGTTAAAAAAACTGAATAGATCCTCGGTTAAACAGTCACACATGTACCAGCTAATTTGTTAAATGCCTGCCTTGCCATAAATAATGAATGAATTTTATTCAACATTTACTAGTTTAGACTTTTCACTGGATTTTCTTTTTTTTGCTTTTACATCTAAGTGTGTGATGATTTCACATTTATTGTTCATTTTATTAATAAGGTTGTTCATTATTTGCCAAGTTTTTTTTCGTTTTGTTTATTTTAAGATGGAACTGTTTTCTTTACTACTCCCGCTTAGATTAACTTTTAAATCTGTTATAAAATTTTGATTTTAGTCATTTTTGACTGGTGGATTTTTTGAGTATCTTTTATATAATTTATTTTTAAATGAAATTTTTTTTTATTGTCATCACCGTACCTGGATTTTTTCATTTCCAGTTTTTTATATATTTGATAGTTACAACTATGTTGTGGTTTCTTTTTCTTAGTCTTTATTATTGCAACTCTGACATACGCAGAACCACTTACAATGTTACAGATATATTATCTGTATTACTTTTATTATGTTCTTCATATCTTCATCCATTGATATAAAGCCCCGGGTCGTGAGAGTGGTAGACGGACACGCTAACCACTCGTTCAACGAGACTCCTTTTTATGTTGCTGTTTTATGTTGTTATTCCAGTGTATATAATTATTATTTTATAAAATTTATTTCTTACCAATTTGGAAAAAAAACGAAAATTTGCAAGCAACCATCTTAGCAGAAATATTCAAATATAAATGGAAAATATAAAAATTAATGAATAGATATACCACTTCTTTTCATAGCGCTATTATTTGTGCGGTATTTAACTAAGTTGTGCAGTGAAGTTTTAAAGAATAATTTTTTAGGATTTGCTCAGAATTTTATGAGTGATTGAGAAGTAGTTGAAAAAGAAGAAAAAGATTTCTAGATAGAAGAGAGAGAAGAAATTAAAACTTAGCAGAAAAATTATAAAATCTTTGTGCGAATAGACATTTTTGACAAAAATTAAAATATATTCATTTTAAATGATTTGCCAAAAAATCAACGGTTAGCTGTCAAAACTTTATAAATAACTCGCCTGAAACAGCCTATCTGGCTTTGTAAATTCTAATCAGAAATCATTATTCCGTGTGGTTACAAATTGATTAAATTAATGATGTAATACGAATTTGAGGTAAAAAAATATCTTGTTGGAGTCATGTGCCTATATACGTGTTTTATTGAATGCACAAAAACACACACTGATGCATACATTCACACATACACGTACACACGCACATGCGTTTGTTTGTTACATTTTTATTCATTAAATGTTAGTGAGCAGTTGTTAGGTTGATTTGGAACTTTAACGATTTCAGCTAACGTTGTTCCATTATACTGTAGTTACTGTTGTTGATGTTTTTATTTTTTTTTGTAGACGTTTGTTGTTGTGGCTGATGACGTTGTTTGTGACGATGTGTTTATGTTATTGAGGTTCTTAGTTTTATTAAAGTTGCTAATCAAAATGTTCTTACTGTTTTTTATACTTTAGATAAATTTCTTGTAACGTAGATCGTTTAATTAATTGATATTAGTATAATAGTATAATATTAAAAAACATTAAAAGAAGAAAATAAACTAAGAAACGTTTTTGACTCGTTTATAATCAACCGGAACAACAAAAAGTGAATTTACATGCAAAGAAAAGAACATTTAGCCAAAAATAGATGTTATATCATTTCTGCTTCGGTAGTTAAAATTGCAACTGAGGGTTGACGTTGGTTAAACCAACTGATCACGCTTCCTCCAAACATACAGATTACACCTGGTGTCGATCTTCCACTAGACTTATCTCCTCCATGATCTGCATCGCTGTAGGCTATAAGTATATTGTCTTGACCAGACTTGTAAACAATACCGACATCAGCTGTGCCTTGCAAATATCTAAAAATCTGATTTACTTGTGTTACATTGGACTTGCTGGGTTTCTCCAAACTTCTGGTTGCTATTCCAACTGCATATGCAATATCTGGTTTTGTTCCCGTCATCAAGTACATCAATGCACCAACTGCTGTAAGGAAATTTCACTTCCTCGTGTTCATTTTTTTTTTCATCGACCTTCTCAGGTTTTGTAATCGAAGTTGTACAGAGTTTACACTGGCTCATCCCAAACTTTTCAAGAATCCTTCTTGTATACAATAACTGATTGACTTTAATATTTCCCTTCTCATCTTGATTAATTTCTAATTCAAGAAAATATGTTGCAGGTTTAGATGTTATCTTGAATTCTGTCTTTAACTCTTTTTCAAACATTTTAAGTTCTTCTTTATCGTTCCTGCAACTAGTCCGTCATCAACGTACAGCGCAAGTATGAATTTCTTTTCTTTCTGTATTCTAATAAACAAACAAGCATCTTCATCGCTTTGTTTGAAATGTCTCTTTTTCAAGAATTCAGCAAAGCATTTGTTCCAACATCTTGGAGCTTGTTTAAGTCCATAGAGACTTCGCTTGAGTTTACAGACTCTTCCTGAATTATCTTTAAAACCTTCAGGTTGATCCATGTAGATATTTTCATCTAGTTTGCTGTATTAAAATACTGTCGACATATCAAACTGCATGAGTGACATCTTTTCATTTGCGGCAGCACTTAATAGTGTTTTTATAGTTGAACTTCTGACCACAGGACAATAGGTTTTTTCATAGTCAATTCCCTTTTTTTGCAAAAAACTTTTTACCATTAGCCTGGCTTTAAAACGTTCAACAGAACCATCTGGATTGTGTTTTATTTTGTAGACCCATTTGCATGGTATTGCCTTATGACCTTTTGGAAGATTTACCAAATCCCACGTTTGATTTTCCTCTAATGACTGCATTTCACTGTTCAGTTCATGGTTTTAAACCATTCATTTTTTTCATCATTTTGAATGGCATCTTTGAAGCTCTCTGGTTCAAGTACTTCACATAATGCAGATATAACAAAAGGACCATAACGAAATGGCTTTTTGATATTATTCTTGTCACGTAAAACAATACCATTGAACTTTTGATTACAACAATCAGATTGATCTTCTTCATCAGATGAAACTGAACTACGGTTGTGAACATCTTTATCAGTTGAAATACTTTCTTTAATCAAAGTTTCTCTATTATCATCTATGATTTCATCATCAATCGAAACTGTATCATCTGAACAACTATCTTCTTGCAAAATCACTGAATTAGGTTTGACAACCTTCTAATCAAAAATTACATCTTTTGATCGAAGCATTTTATTTCCTGGTTGAACAAAAATTCTGTAGTCATCGTCAACTTCATATTCAACGAAAATACTCTTTACAACTTTAGTATCTATTTTTCGTCGTTTCTGCATATGCTGTGCTACCAATGATTCGTAGATGTGTTATCTTAGGTTTCTTGTTAAACCACAATTCATATGGTGATTTTCCATCTGCAGAAGATGGTCCAGTTTGGTTGAGTATGTAAGCAGCAATATTAACTAATTCATCCCAAAGGGCCTGAGGCAGTTCTTTATGAGCCAGTCTCATGGCTCTTGCTGCTTCAACTACCGTTTGATTATCACGCTCACTGCATCCATTCTGCTGAGGTGTATAAGGCATAGTTAGGCGTTGTCTAACTCCTTCTTTATGCAAAACTGATCTGACCTCCTTGTTGTCAAATGCAATGTACGTGTGCCCCGATGCTCAAATATATATACTGCCTCTACTCTACTTTGTTGATTCCATGTTTGTTTTAAGTGATCAACAAGTTTGACAATTTTCTTTGTTGGTAGGATCGTTACAGCATGTTGTTGGATGGTTATTACATTATTATTGTGTGTGTGTGTGTGTGTGTGTGTGTGTGTGGGTGTGTGTGTGTGTGTGTGATCGAGACATACATATTCACATTCGAACACGTGTGCGTTAGCAAAGAAGATAATAACTTTTAAGCAATGGAGCTATATAGAAAGTTTATATGAAATATATATAAGGCAAACACATACACACACCTGTGGTCATTAAAGATTCACAAGTATGAATATTCATAAACGTGTATAAGATTATTTTTTAATTGTTATAATTGTAATTTATTATTATTGTTTTATTACTTTTCAGAAATCATTGAATTAATATTTTGTTTGGTACTA